TAATTATAATCAAATAAATTTATCATTTTTATTAAATTATAACAATTTGAAGGTACTCACTATTTAAAACTAATTTTTTTTTCAATAATGGTTATTAGAAAATGTTAACTGGTTATTAGAAAATATCTAATAGTAGTAAAGTATAATATATAAAATTATCATATTTATATCATTCGAAATACATTTATGTAATTCAAATATTATAATACTATATTATAATACAATTAATATTTGCACATACTTTTTCATTGACAGGAGGAAAACTTCCTCTGTCGGCAAACTTGGAAAAATCTTTGATAAGAACATCCTTAATTAAATCTGGATTTTTTACAATCAGAATGGGTGTCATTCCAGTGAATATTCCAATCACGGATTCATCTTTATACTTATTGTATATTTCCAGTAAATAATCACCTATAAACTTATTATTAAGTGCAACATCTTTAATATTTCCAAAAACTGGTTTCGGTTTTGGACCGCGAATACCACGTGATTTCCAGAAGTCGTAGTTCGATGTAAAATAATAATATACAGCGAGAAATGTAGTAGCAATAATGCATAGTATTTCAAAAAATCCCATTGTTCTTTAGCTACCAATCAATTATTTCAAGTGACGGTTGCTAAAAAAAAATAATACTTTGTCAATAAAAAACATCGTTTTAGAAAATTTAAAATTTAATAAAAAATTTGATAAGCCAAATGCATATTTAATGAAATATAAGTTTATGGCAACTAATTTTTCTATTGCATTTTATCAATATTAATAGATTGCTTATAGATTTTGTAGGGATTTAAATTATATTGACGAGCAACCCGTTATGTAACGGTTTCCGATTCAAGAATATTCTATATTCGAATGTTTATATTTATAATTACTTGTAAAAAAGATTGATCCCAGCGACAAATTAATGTGTCGGTCGAGCGTTAGTTATTGAGAAATGTAAGAGCTTCCGCACAAGGTATTCCGTATCGCATTACGTTACGTTAAGTATAGATCGTAAATTTAACTTCGTACGTAAACTTAAACTTCAGTTAACGCACAGAAAAAATCGTAACGTAAAGACATATCTTTACGTTACGATTTTTTCTGTGCGTTAACTGAAGTTTAAGTTTACGTACGAAGTTAAATTTACGATCTATACTTAACGTAACGTAATGCGATAGGAAACACCTTGTGCGAAGGCCCTAACATATGAAAGATGACGAGCGCAATGAGAGGAACGTTGCAAAACTTATCGATTCATTAGCGATGTATTATATTCCTCATAGAATATATATATTGTATATATACATATACAGAGTGTCTGAAAACTTTTCACAGTCCCGAAGTGTGAAGGTAGTTCTCAAATTAAGAAGGAAGATTCTATATCTATACTATTTTACGATATTTGCAATAATGAACAAAAAATTAATTAAAGAAGATCCGCCAATCTGCATGAATAGAAGCGCGCGGCAACGAGAGTCACACTACTGTAATCTTATATTAGGCGTGCGGCGAAGCAGTGTGTGGGGAAGGAGTGGTGAGTGAGATGCGGACTGTGAAATTAACTAAATAGAAAATGTCATTATTTCGTCTTAATATATTCTATTATGAAAATGAAAGAATACTGTGTTTAACAAAGTGGAAATAAAGCAGGAACGGACACGATATACATAGACAAATTTTCAAAGATAATCAATCACGCATATGGCACTCATTCTGTATGAAATTTGAGATTAAACCGTGTTTCAATATTATGCTTCAAAAATAGTAACTCGCGTATAAATTACATGTCCATATTAAAGCGACATAATAAAACCAGTAATATTTTCACTATTTTAAAATCACAAATGTATATTTGACATTAAACTGAAGTTGTTTATCATGTGATTGTGTACATACATTAATGAATAGAAACAAATTGTATCATCTTTTCAATTAATATGATATGCGAAGTCATTATCTATAAAAAATTCACACTTTTTTCGTTCTCAAGTGAACAAATTCCATGGAAGATCTGATAAAATATGAAAATTGAACACATTCTCTTCTGACGAGACAGAGAATAGATATTCATTTTGAAATTATTTTTCAAAATATTATTATTCGTTTAGTAGTTGAACTATTCAATTTTAGGCGATTCGCAAACCTTGTGATAGCTAACATCCAAATAAACGATGAATATAACGTATTTGAATTCGCTAACGAAATTGATGGTTACAGCAACTGACACATTCGGAATTCAATAGAACAACTTGCTACTACGTGATAGGAAATATTACTAACTTGTTCAAATTTTTTATCTATTTATAAAGCATAGACGCTATTACAAATACGCGAATAAAAAGATGAGTCACGATGAATTGCAAGAACTATATCATCAAGATTTATCTCAAATGTAAAATCAAATACATGACTTCGTATATCATAATACCGAGATAGCGTAATTGATTAAATAATTGTTCTTAATAACACTATATGTTATATGCTATTATACATATGTACACTGCAACGCAATTAATAAAATCAACTCTTAAGATAAATGTTAATTATATTTCGATGATTATAAAAAATTGTCTTTGTAAAACATGAAATATAAAATACAGTATACCATTGTCAGATATATTAAACTAATTATTAACTTTTTAACTAGATTCTACATTAATGAGATTATACTAGATTATAACGTTTCGAGTAGATAAACTATAAAAAAATAGTTCTTTGAAAATAAATTTTACTAAATATAAATTTTTTAAAAATATAATAATGTATAGTATTACTGAGAATTACATTGTATCCATTATTTGTATTTGTCAATCAAAAATATATGTTGTGTTAATTATTTTACTTTCATTTCAGACTTAATTAATACATTTTATTATATACATGTGCATGAGTTTTATGCTTTTAATCATTCGAAAGTTGGCTTCTCAGTTGGCAGGACTGAAACACCCTAGTAGCACAAAACATTGACAAAATATTGATATATCTTGGCTCAATATTGGTTATATTGGAAATGTCTTGGCCAATATTTCTCAATATAAAACTAATATTGATTGTTAACAAAATGCAAGTGTTCTGCTAATATTGCAGTGCTCATGATGACCAATATTGGCTACGATATAAATATAAATGTGTTTACCAATATGGTTGCATCCATTATAATACCAATATTGGTTATGATGTAAATGTAAATGTGTGCCAATATTGCACGTTCACACCTTATATATGAGCTTCGCGCGTCACCACTAGATGGTGAATAGGAAAACACCTACCTCGAGAGTGGGATTCCATCTAAAGCAGTATATTAAGGTCGCGACACACGAGTTACGACTTATCAGTCAAAAACTACGGACTATTATAGCCGCACCTCCTCTAGCTTTTGCGAGGAGCTTCAGAGCTCCATAAATTAGAAAATGTAAAATTGTAAAAATATTTGGGTATGTATAATTAGCCAATCTTACAAGGAGAGGTCGCGACCTTGGGGTCATCGAATTAAATAAAATTTTAACTGCGTGTAGTACTCGACAAAAGAAGTTTTTGAGGAAAGTGAGAGGACGCGCCTCTCAGCCGTTTAAAAAAAAAATTAAGTGAAAAATAGGCCGTATCTTGTAAACCGGTAAGTTTAGACTAATCGTCAAGTAAGCGGCGTAGCTCGGGCGGTAAAGCCCGATACTATTATGCTGCTGGTCACAGGTTCGATCCCGACCTGTGGTAGTTTCATTTTTTTTTTATGCGAAACGTACTATATTTTTTTAATGAATGAAAATGAAAAAAATTAAATAAATAATTTAATTTTTTGTTTTTATTTTATTTTTATTTCAGGAAAAACAATTATTTACGATATGTTAATTTATATTAAATTTTATAAAACTGATGGCTCTGGTTAAAGTCTGGCTAGGATTGAACAAGATTTTAAAAGTTATTGTATAGGTATATACATAACACAATAGAAAAGGCAGGAAGGGACTAAAAACCGTTACCTGATGAAAACAGGTATAAGTAATGGTTGGAGCAGTAGCGAAGTTGACAATGAGATTAAAAATTATGTACCGAATATTTTTTGTATTAAATTATAATTAATTAATAAGTGGCATAATAATTTTATATATTTTTTTTGTTAGTATCGAGTAAAATATATAGAATTGTGACGTTTTATAAAATTTAATATAAATTAACATATCGTAAATAATTGTTTTTCCTGAAATAAAAATAAAATAAAAACAAAAAATTAAATTATTTATTTAATTTTTTTCATTAAAAAAATATAGTACGTTTCGCATAAAAAAAAAATGAAAAAAAATGAAACTACCACAGGTCGGGATCGAACCTGTGACCAGCAGCATAATAGTATCGGGCTTTACCGCCCGAGCTACGCCGCTTACTTGACGATTAGTCTAAACTTACCGGTTTACAAGATACGGCCTATTTTTCACTTAATTTTTTTTTTAAACGGCTGAGAGGCGCGTCCTCTCACTTTCCTCAAAAACTTCTTTTGTCGAGTACTACACGCAGTTAAAATTTTATTTAATTCGGTGACCCCAAGGTCGCGACCTCTCCTTGTTAGTTAAAATGAAAATAATATATTCGTTCAATATTACAATTCAATATTGGCTCAAAATGAAATCACGTCTACTTTGCAATAATGGACCAACATGGGAAATATTGGATATATATTGTTAGCCAATATTGCTGCAATAAAGTGTGTTACTACTAGGACAATTTTATACATAGTTGTTTTCTAGTTAACATTTATTTTTGTATTTTCTCAATATAACGATAAGTTTGCTTTTCTTTAGAAAAATATCTAACGTTAATTTGCAAAAAATTATTCTTAAATTTATTAAATAAAGAATAATTGGTAATTATGCACCTTACGGACGTCTTTATCGATTTCAATGATCTTGATATATGTTGTCAAGCTCATTCTCCTGAGTAAGAATCAAAAGGTTTTAAGTGTCGCTCACTATTTATTAAAAAATTTAATGAATATAATATGATTTTGCCGTAGCATGTTCGTTCAAGGGGATCCTAAAGAGATAGGCGAATTCCGGCTCTCGATCTCGATAGTATGTACACGCTGTAATGATGGCGGATCACAAGGGTTACGAGTATGATAGTAATTCTGTATGGAGTAATTATTCTCTTCATTTATATGTACACACTAATATGTAAATGAATACATGTGCATGAGATAATATAATTATTAAAATATTGTAGTAGAATACAATAAAATGAATATAGTACAAGATTTTAATAGAATTTCCTTGCACGTAACTTGTCTTATAATCTCTTGTATTTTTCAACATATACGGAATTACATATGCATATATAATTATCACATATATCTTATGAAATATATTTTTATTTACAGTGCCTCTGCCGCCGGCATGATCGCCTCCTTATAAAATGAATGAAAATGAACTTGTGCACCCGGCTGGCGTCTACCTGTAATTGTTGTGCCTGTAATGTAAACAAAATAATCACAAAATGTAAGTATATTTTAATAGGGCAAATACATTACCTTTTTTTTTATTCTTTCATAACTTTAATTATTATGGAAAAAATATTCTATGTAATTTATAATATTTAATTATAAACATTATGCTTATATTGATAATATTTTTTGATTCCGATAAAAATATAAAAAATCTACATTTTTGTTTATTGGAATAAAAAATATTAGTATGAACACAATTTATAAATTACATAAAAAAATTATGCAAAATGCTTTTTTCAATAATATTTAAATTATATTATAAACTACATAAGGAAGAGACAGAGAAAAATAAAATATAAGCAAAATGTTTTCCGTAATATATTTATATAATTAAGGGAAACACCACTGTAAAATTTTCAACAAATCGATTTTTGGAAACACTTTTAAAAAATTGTTTGAACCTTCAAAAGTGCGATGCATATTCGTTTATAGCTGAAAAAAAATTTTTTTTAATGGTTTTCGAACTATTTTTGAAGAGTGTAAAAACCGAGCGCTAAAAAGCGCCTTCGGCGATGCGACGCAGGTAGACGCAGTTCTCGACCCTTGTGAGTTTATTATTTTTGGGGAAAAAGTTGACCGACTGAAATAAGTTTTATTTTCTATCATAAGTGGTATTGCATTACGAAAAAAAAAAATTTCATCAGCTGTAGCGTCTATAAAACTGTTGACTAGACGCCGTTTGTTTTCACGTGTATTCGGTGCGCGGCAGTTTCTCTCTACTTATTGTTTGTTTACGAGTTCTTGTGTGTATTTTCTGTATATTTTGGAGCAATGTCTACGCTGGGTAAACTGTATAGACCAAGTATAGGCTCTAAGAAGCATTACGCGACTGCCCAGCCGGCTCAGAGTCATGGTGCTCTTGGCAACGTGCTAAAACTGCTAATGATTTAGCAAAATACAATCATAATCCGGCTATGTGTATACGAGGCAATCAAGCCTATTTATGATGATTTAAGCAGAGATGAATTTCTTCAGCGCTGCTTAAGCGGATATACGCAAAATACGAACGAGTGCTTCAATAAAGTCGTGTGGATCGCTCCGAAAAATTCTTCTGGTGGAAAATTATTGCTCGACGTTGGAATTGATGTAGCCACATTGATATTTAACGATGGCCTTATGTTCCTTGCCAAAGTTTTGGAAGTAATAGGCGTGAAAATCGGGCCCAACTGCTATAATTTCTGCATGGAAAGTGACGCAATCCGAATCGCCAAGGCAGAGCGATCAATGTCGGATCAGGCAAAAGATGCTCGAAGAACTAATTTGGCAGTTCGGAGAGAAGAAAACGAGGCTGATCTCAACGTGGAAGGGCAACTGTACGGAGCTGGAATCGCTGAATAAAGATACATAAAGAATTTCTTAAGTTATAAACAATTTATTGGTACTGAAAACTTTAAACGCGTTTTTCTCAAAACCAGGTTTTTGAAATCGGTACGCAGCAGAACTCAAACAATTTTTATCCGATCGACTTGAAATTTTAACTGTAGCTTCTCAGATCGATTTAACAGTCAAGTACGAGCGCTTTTTTCGATTAATTGAAAATTATAAAAAATATATACTTTTTATACGAAAATTATGGTCGAAAAATCGAACTTTTTATTCAAACTCGTCTCTATTTTTTTTTTAATCTTTTTTTATTTCCCTTCGTACTTGACTGCTAAAACTAATATAATTAACAAACATATTTCACTTTTTGTTCCAAGATCAAATTTACGATAGTTCTACTGCGTGCCGCGGAGAGAGTTGGCTGAAAACCAGTAGTGATGTAGCGACTCGTGCGCCGCCATTTTGTACTTTTTTAACAAATAAAAAATTTTTTTACGTACTTCAATATATGTCTAATAAAGCCTAAAAGTTCTTTTGACCATATATTTTATTCCTTTCTTAAAAAAAAATATCAAAGAAAGCAGTCGAAAATGGGCAGTTACAGTGGTGTCGTCCCTTAAAAAGAATTAATTTACTTTCTTTTATTACTTTTTTAAGGAACGATGACGATTATATCGCTAACATCGTCGCGAGCGGCGCCAGCAGGAGCGGCAGCAGCAGCAGCAGCAGCAGCAGCAGCAGCAGCAACTAGTATTAGTATTAGGAGTACAAATAAGTCTCCGCCGTTTTTTATCAAAAATTGAGCATTTATTGTGAAAGAACGGTACCTTATGTTTTATTCAAAGTATTGTCCATCGCTAGCCACTACTTTTTCCCATCTTTCTGGCAGCATACGGATACCGCGTCGGAAGAACTCTTCATCTTTTGAGGCTATCCACGAATCGACCCAATTTTTGGTATCTTCATATGATGTGAAGTGCTGCTCAGACAGACCATGTGTCATCAATCGGAACTAGTGATAATCCGAAGGCCTGGTGAATACGGCGGGTGAGGTAGGACTTCTCAATTGAGTGTTTCCAAGAAGGTTTTGACCGGCGCGGCAACATGTGGACGAGCATTATCATGCAGGAGAATAATTTTGTCGTGTCTGGAGTAGTAGTGGGCGCGTTTCTCCTTGAGTGCTCGGCTCAATCTCATCAATTGTGTTCGGTAGAGAGCCCCAGTAATGATTTCGTTTGGTTTGAGCAACTCATAATACACAACACCAAGCTGATCCCACCAAATACACAATATGAGTTTTTGGCAGTTTTGGCAGCATGGTCACGTGGACCCCATGATTTCCTCTTCTTTGGGTTATCGTAGTGGATCCATTTTTCATCACCAGACTATACGATGCAAAAAACCCTTTCGTTTATGCCTGGCAAGCAGCATTTCACATGTGCAAAATCGGCGTTCAACGTTTCTCGGCTTCAGTTCATATGGAACCCAATTTCCTTGCTTTTGAATCATTCCTAACGATGTTAAACGATGTGAAATTGCTTGTTGCGTCACTCCTAATGTAAGTGCAAGTTCTTCTTGCGTTTGGCACTAATCTTCCTCCAATAATGCTTCCAATTCTGCGTCTTCGTACACTTTCGGCCTTCCGCTACGTTCTTTGTCTTCGACGTCAAATTCATCGTACTTAAACTTATGAAACCACTCACGACAACTTCTCTCACTTAAAGCAGCCTCACTATATGCTTCTACAAGCAATTGATGCGCCTCAGCTGCAGATTTCTTCAAATTAAAGAAGTAAATCAAAAGTTCCCGGAAATGACGCTTATTCGGCTCAAAACTCGACATTTTCGCACAAAAAAAATTATGTGATGCTAATACAAAATCGCTAATATTTCAAGGTTATGGTGTTGCCAGATGTTCAACCTTACGATATGACATTTTACATTTGACTATTTCAACCATAATTTACTGGTGAGGCCATCTTTTGTCAAACGGCGGAGACTTATTTGTACTCCTAATATATTTACAACCCCAGCCATCGCTACCACTCCAGCAGTTGCCGCCACTACTACTGCTATCTCAGCAGCCACAGCCGCCACCACTGTCACACCAGCAACCACTACTGCCACCTCAGCAGTCACCGCCGCCACCATTGCCACCCCAGCAACCGCCACCGCCGCAACCATTGCCATCCCAGCAACTTCCTTCACTGCCAGCAGTCCCACGACAGCTACTATCAAGAGAATGAAGGGGATGGGGTCGCGGGAAGGGAAGGAGAGGATTCTTAAGAGGAGGGGAAAATGGAAAAAATCAATTTTTTACATTTAATATTTATTAACCTTATTAAATTTTTTTTTTTACAATAAGTCAAGTATTAATATTATAAATAGTAATATTTTATATTAATATTATAAATAGTAATATTTATAAATAGTAATATTTTTTTTAAACAATAAGTCTAACAATAAAAGTTTGTATAATATATATTTTATTTAATAAATTACATTATATATATATATATATATATATATATATGTATATATTTATGTGTGTGTATATTCTATAACCAAGGAATTAATCAAATTAATATTATACATATAATTAATAATATACATATATAAATATTAATTTTTTATTTCTTTTTATTTTAATTTTTTTATTTTAATATATTTATACACATATCTTAGAATTTTAGATAATTCCGTAATGTGATATTTAGTATACGAATGCGACATTAATGACGTACATAACATTATATGTGATGTATATGACATATATACATCATTGAATACGATGATCAGATAATAATTATTATTATCCTTGTTTCTTCATTATCTAGCCTTAGCCGACCCTTAAACTAAGTTCGATTAATTTTAGTTATCCTCAAATGTATTCCATGCTTTGGTGCTAACATTAATGCTTTGGGATTAATTATGTAGGGTATTTGCGTTTTATCGCAAACCTCAACTTTATAATTCTGTAGTATCTTTACAAGACCAATCTTTGTTTGATAAATGGCAAAACGAGCACCTGAAAATAAAAAATTATTATTATAAGAAAAGTTTCTCGATTAAAATATTGTTACATATAAATTATTACAAGCAGAAGTTGAATTAAATGTATTTAAATCTATGCGTGTTTCATTTTACCAATGCAATTCCTCGGTCCATGACCAAAAGGTAAATAATGCATCGGATGTC